ATATAGATCCAATTATTATACCAGCATCCTACAATCGCCAACCCCTTTTTACTAATAGTGATAGCCGCTAGTTTGGCCTAGTGAGTCCGCACCAAACGAAATCTGCCGTGAAGCAGTCAGTATCCTGGTTTGACAGGTGAAGCAATCGTACACAATAAAAACTTCGAATAGGCTCCACTAACCACTTAATGCTAAGTGTGCCATAAGCTAGTCTACAGCAATAAAATAAAAACCAAGTGTGCATTCATAACCTGTTAAATCATGTATGCTGTCTGTTGATCTAGTGGTGTATACTTAATACAAATATTGAATCGAGAAAATATGAATATTATACAAGCTAAACTTGACACAAGTGCCTTGTGGTTATTCAGAAAAATTTATACGACGACCCACGTCTGGGCGTTTTACCTATAAAGCCATGAACTCTTCGCGAGTATTTTAAATTATTCTGAGAAAAACGTAACGTTATTAACAACAATACATAATAAGGCTTAACCAATTTCCAAAGAAGTAGATTGTTATGCATAGTGTGCATTCGATTCGTGATGCGTCATATGCTTTCCTAGAGATCTTTTTTATAACGTACCATCCGACTTTGAATTGAATTCCACTCGACGGTGTTACACGAGGTGTGTGGCATGTCATTCTTAAAACAAACACGGGGTCCATTGCAATACACAACAACTCTGCCGTATCCCTGCTATTCTTGATGTTCATGAGCAAGGGTGACTGCATACCATCAGATGGGCTGTATGCAAGTCTATCTGCAAAGACCACAAAAAAGTTTTATTAAATAAAATTTTATATAAATAAATTAAAATGTATCGCCAAGCACTTTGTTTTCTATTTTAGTGCAATACTTGATTAATAATGAATTGAGTCAATGAAAAGCTTTTAGCCATACATCGGAATATAAAAAATATAATTATTAAAATTCTTTGATAATGAAAAATAACATCTGAATACACAAAACAATGGAAAAAAGTGTTTATACATACAGTCGAACATGCATAACATTATTGAGAATATTCATAGTCAGGGTCTGTCTGTCTTAGCAATACACGTTGCAAAACAAAAATAATATTTATGCATATTATTATATAGCGTGCAAAAGATCTTTACTGAAACCGAAACAGAAATAAACTATAACCTAAAGTGAAAAGAAAGTTATACTATATAGTATTCTAATTTAAGCTATGTATATAAATGATACTGCGGCTAAATAATGGCAAGTGGTCACTGTCGTTCGTAGACCTCAGCAATGCCAAGGACTAAGCTGTTGTCTACCGTTGAGGTCTCTCAAAGAAACTCCGTGGAGGAAAGCTATATATAAATAGAGCTATAGCTATATATAGAAGACACATGAAAGAAACTCAAAGTAGATAATCGAAGCAATTTTTTTTATTGCTTAGATGGGTGGACGAGCTCACAGCCCACCTGGTGTTAAGTGGTTACTGGAGTCCATAGGCATCTACAACGTAAATACGCCACCCACCTTGTGATATAAGTTCTAAGGTCTCAGTATAATTATAACGGTTATCCCACCCTTCAAACCGAAACGCATTACTGCTTCACGGCAGAAATAGCAGGGTAGTGTTAACTACCCGTGCGGACTCACAAGAGGTCCTACCACCAGTAAAAATTTAAAATTCCAGGTGATGTGAATGAAATCTGCTTCGACTGTGATTAATTCTTATCGCAAGACGAGATGCAATTCTTCTGAGCTTCCTAGAAATCGTGGACCCCACGTGTAATCTTATTTAAAGACTTCACGCAAAAAACTTCGTACATATATGTATTTTTTCGGCTATGATTATTGTGGTTGTGTCAGAAATAATCAGTTTTACAAACTCTCTTTGATTTCGGGAACAATTCAAGAACACACCCTGATCTTGACACCTTGATTTTTCAAATTATTATAAGATATTATAAATATACAATGAAATAAATAATACTTCGGTATAAGTTGCACATATCAGGTTTCCTAAATAGGCTTCTATAACGTGAGTTCCGTCTTCAGACAACTGAGTATACGATTTTGATACAAAATATAGTTTGGTCACACGTTCGACCACGCGACTGATTAGCCGGTAAATGACCCTGACTACAGCTTAGCTTGGAGTCGGTTAAATTCCTGGACAGAGTGAAAGTGAATGATTGGATATACCGTATCTGGATGTGCTTGTACCACGCCACACTAGGAGAGCTTATTACGGCATTATTATTATTCTAGATGGACATCTCTTTCTTATCCGTGTTATACATGTTACAACATAACAGTTTAAAATAAAACTGTTAAATGAGTTTCTGTTTAGATATTCGAAAGCGGAAAATCGTGCTATTACGTAATATTTTAATGATAATGAATAAAGTCGTTGGATTTAATGTTCCATCGAACGATTCGTTATTGTTTTATGGACTTATGTAACCCTGAGACTTTTACCTAAATTGGAACATTGTAAGTCTACAACATATACAATCTAAAACTAAGAACTTCTAAAAGCATTAACGTTATCGCTTCCATACTAAAGTTTCCCTCCCCTCTGCGCCAATATTCGGTAGGAAGAAGTTTTGGCACCGATCCTATTCTGCAAAACGTTATATAACATTGCAGGTATTCGTCAACGCTAACACACAAAAAGATGTTAGACGAACGGCTTAAAATTACGTTACAAAATCATTATGATCTAATAATTTAGGAATTTAATTATGAAAAGTCATAACCGAGAGAGAACTCCTCGATTAACATACCGCTTACACTGTTCCAGTTACATTAGTTTAATAGCTTCAACACGTAAGCAGTTTCGATAGTCTGAGTAATGTTTGCTTCGCTTTGTGTCAGCCATAAGGTGTGTGACGTCATAAAGCATCTGGTCAGCAGGTATATCGATCGGAAAGCTGTTGAGATAGATGCGCGTCACTGAATTTTATGATAAACAATAATTGTTTTCGTTGTTATTCAATCGTTTACCCAGTTTCCGTAAGAATATTATTATTTATAAAACAACTGCTTTTGTATTCATGAATAATATGTTTTGATTCATAATTATACAATAAAATCTCGGTTATTCGGTATAAAACGTGCTTGCGAAAGTTTACAGTTACGATTGTAACAGTGACCGTGGGAGATTCGGATTCATGTTAATCGGCTCATTGTCTTTTAGTTTATTGTACAGTTCATAGAACTAAAGTGTGATTAACTTACCTGTACTATGCGTATCGAGAAAACATAAAACACATCATTGATTAATTCTCATATATCTCAATAATTTATCATTAAGTGCGCAAAATAAATATGTAGTTGTAGATAAATTACATTACCAATTAAAAACGCTGTCCTTATTGATTTTGTCCATTTAAAAATAAAAAAAGATGTGTGGTGTCGTGGGAGTGGGACACCGGATAGGAACGAAGTTCCTTATTATAAAAATATTAATTTTAAGTTCTATTCGAGGTATTAAAAAAAATATTATTTGAGTATACATTTTTTTATGATTTTGTTATTGATAAAAAATGAACTACTTTACAAAGTTATCAACTTTATTTTATTCACAATAATTTATAAAAAATGTATAATAATAATATACAAAGAAACAGCTATTTATATGAATAATAATAATAACAGGCATCACGTAGACACTGTATCACACTAGACACTGTATAGCCATCATACTAAGACTATTCATAAATAATAAAAATCTTACGTTACGGACGTTTTTTCCCGGTTAGGGTACCCCTCCGCATCGTCCCATAAGGAACTTCGTTCCAGTAATTCGGGCAGTGTGCATTTACTAAATTAAATTAATTAATAACGAATAAAAGACATTCCGATTTCATTTTTAATAAAATAGAAATTTCCCCGCTGGATCATGACATAGGACTAAAAATAGTATCGTTTTTTGTGATAGGTATTAAACCGTTCATGGACCTTCCGTAACTCATCCAATCAACCGGCTCCATTGACCTCGTTCTGTTCAATTTGGCTAAAATGGCTGGTGAAAATATCTCAAAAAAAAAGTTTACCAAATAAAATTTTACGATTGCCACAAATAAACATAACATTTGCATAAATATTTACCAGTGCCTGTTTTCACCAGATTTTTCAATGACGTCATCGTATCATTTATTTTGCGTTTCTACCAATAACTAGATAGAGGGTTTTACTAAAGTGCTAGAAGTTGATACATTTACACAGGGCAGGGATTTTCCAACTGAAGTATTATATTTTTAGGTTAGATAATTTAATATTCTAAAACATTAAAATTCTATATTATATCAGACACGTCAAACCAATAACAATTAGTTGATACGGGTAATAAAATAAGAGAGAATAGAAAACGAAGAAGGTATCCCCCTCGTTTACCATTAAACCGTAACGCCGAAGCCACAATAATGGCGGCGGCAGTCAACCTGACCTTGCCGTGTCACCTTCATAGCTTAATGTTTAATGTTTCTTTGCCAAAAATTACCGAACTTTGATGAAAACCCGCATTTCTGAACGAAGTTCTCAATCCTTTCTTCGACGGTGTCAATGTCTTATGATGAGCGTCCCCAAAATTTCTGCTTATGGCAGATTTAATTACTTTCAAGATTAATGCAAAAGCAAAAAGTATGATCACGTTTCGGAATTTAGAACTTAAGTGACTGATGTCAATTCAGACTCATGTCAGACAATTGTCTTATGCCGAGTGCTCCCAACCACTCGTGGTTTTAGAGTAATTATAGACTACATCTCATTTAATTCTTCTTTAATTCTTCCTCGTAATTGTAAAAATCAATTGTTTTTACAATTACGTTTGTAAATTTGTGTTTTGAGAATCTTAATTTTAAAGAATAACCTGTACCTTAGAGATATGGATATGCGAATCCCTAAGGTATAAAATGCTATACAGCGATAAAGTTCATAAACAACTAAATACTATAAAGGACCAAAGGATCACTGCCGTTATCTGTTGAACCTTCAAATTTTACGAATTACAGTTGTTTTTTTTTTTCGCTAGGTGGACGAAGGCTGTGCAGATTGGTATGGGCGTGCGGTGAGATTCGGAGCACTCCGCCAGCATGTTGGAGGGAGAGAAACAGCAGAATGCAGGCGGCACCAATGCCGCCCCACAGCACAGAAAAGGACACAGGTTCGTTCAACTCTTTATATACAAAAAGTTCAATAGAGATGTTCTTTTTAAATTTAGAATTTTTGATGTTTCGAATATTATTTGTTTAGCATATTATTCTAAATTTATTGTGAAAATTATAATACAATTTAATATTTAATGTAATCTAGTATTTAAAATAAATTACAATTCTAAATTTATCATATCAAATACAATTTTGGTGGATTTGGTTTGGTGGAGGAAAATTTGTAAATATGTACATTATATTTCGAGGATATTTATCTCTTATTTTTGTTTTTATCGTTAAATTTTCAACAAAACTAAAATTGAGATACGCCATGGATTCAATAAATAAGAAAAAAAAAATAGATAGTTGGAAAGTTAGTAAAATACGCACTTAGCTCGAATTGAAAAGAAGAATTTATTTTGAAAAATAAGTAAATATTATTTCTGATCACTTAATTTCATTCATAGCCTACCGAAAGGCTTTGAATCATATTTTTTATGAGGCAAAATATTCGTGAACATACGTATTGAAATTTAGAACAATAGCATTATGATTAGCGTCGCGGCCTCAAACTGCATTGAAATAATGTTATTGTTTTCCTTTGTTATGCATTTTTAAACTCGATTGAGGTGTCAGGAACTATTTTTACTGGTGGTAGAGCGTCTCGTCAGCCCGCACGGGTAGGTTTCACCACTCGGCCTATTTCTGCCGTGAAGCAGTAATGTATTTCGGTTTAAAAACTGGCGAAGCCATTATACTCTAAAAACTGAGACTTAGAACTCATGTCTCAAGATAGGTGGCGACATTGACGTGGTTAATGTCTACGGGCTCTGGTGACAAATTAACACCAGGGCCGCGAGCTCATCTACCCAGCTCAGAAATAGAAATTTAAAAAGATATGAGAGATTTAAATATTAAAAAAAATACTTGTAAATATCATCAGACAAATGGATTGTTTAATTCGGATCAACGAAATTATAACGATGTGCAGTAGGACGCGTTGTGAAACAGACCGCATTGCGTTGATCACCTGACGCTGAAACCTTAGGAGTTTTAATTTTATTCACTCGCTCCATCATTCGACATAGCAATAAACGGATTGCCATAAATATGTATGTACTTCACGCGTGTGAACTTTGAAAAGTCCTGTCCACACGCTATATAAGGTGTATTTAAGGCAAATAAGTATAACGCGGCACATTCGATGATTCAGATATCTATAAATTTACTTAAAAAATTGTGTCAAAAAGCAACAGATAAAATATACATTTTAGAGATTTTTATTACCTATTATCCATGATTATATGGTGCTAAAAAAACAACCATCGAGAATTTCAAAGATGTAATTAAATAGAAAGTTTCACAATGAATCAATCGAATTATTAATCGATTAGCTATTGCTGCAACGAAACTGTAAAAGTAGTTCGAGACTAATCGAAATCTGAAAAAAGATTGTTTATTTATAGCGCGGCATCTCCTGCAAGAAAACACACATGCTCTCATCGTATACCTACCGTGCATAAAAATGTTTAATTTTATATTTAACAACGATCTTTGCTGGTGATCGCCTGAGCAGGACAAAATACACACGATTCGGAACATTGTTGATAAGCGTGCGTTCTATCGCAGATAACAACAGACACAGCTGTGGCCCATATTCATACCTAATCGTGCGTTACTCTGATATCATTCACCGTAGACAAAGCTTTAGTCATGTATGTGTGTAATATTTACTTACAACGGTGAATTCATTTTCTCTTAAAATCGAAATCGTTAAGCATTTTAGCGATTAAAATATGGTGTTGATCGGTTGAGCAATTGACCGAGTTAAGTAAATGGTTGTGTAAACGTGTGTTGCCTCTAACTAAATTGTTGATCAGTCATACGCCATGCAGAAGAATTCAGCTGAACAACTGAAGCACTTGTTACAGAGGTGATAATTTATCGTCATATGAAACCGTGAATTAAACAATGAAAAATAATGCACCTATTTTAGTATATGCTATAAAAGGAGATAATTTAAATGACAGTAACGTGTATAAAAATATGTGGGATGTTATTACGTCAATAAAAATATATAAATAGTATAAATACACGTTCCATTTGTCCAATTTCAGCTATACTCTGGGTCTACTTACGGGTATACTTAATAATAGAATTTATTTAGTTTGTATAAATTATACATAAGTAATTTTATAAAAAAATAAACAATTTTATCGAATGTTACGTTAACGGATTGATAAACAACACACATTATATGAAATATTATTCACCTAAGAGAAGTAAGTATTGAAGGAATAAACATTAAATAAACGTCAATATTTTAATTTCTCACACAGGAGGCAAGAGTCAATGTACGCTATGACAGGACTTTACGCCGAATCAGTTGGCATAGATGGCGAAAAGGTTGCTAGGCCGATTACGCCACCTCTACCCTCGCATCCACCACGGGAATCTATCAAATGTCACAGCCGGAACCCCTCCGCTGGTATATGCGACAGGTGATTAATAAATTGATTCATTTTCTGTTAAAATAACATAGAGCGTTAATATGAGATAAAAAGTAATGGGTTTGTTACAGGGATCGCGAAAAAGAAAGAGAAAAACCCCGACAAATATTTCCAGAAATACTGGACATTCCTCATGACGCAAGAGATTGCGGTATCTTGTCTTGGAGGCCGCTACTCATTCAGAGATTTTCTAGTATAAAAGTAAGAAATGTACAATCAATAAATTCTTTGCAAATTTAGTGTTGGTTTTACCTAAACATAATTTCTTTTGCAGGTGTTTGTGTTCTTTCTTTCTTTTCTTGTGACGCTTCAACAGGCGTTGAGTTCCGGCTACATTAACTCTGTGATCACAACTATTGAAAAAAGATTCGAAATCCCTTCGAGTCTTTCTGGATTAATCGCGAGTAGCTACGAGATAGGAAACGTCATAACAGTGATTTTCGTTTCATATCTTGGTAGTAGACGACACATTCCAGTTTGGATAGCAGTTGGTAAGCCTTATACGCTATATCCAACAGTTTACACGTCACTATAATAAAATCATATTAATGGCCAATATCTTTCATTTTAGGTGCTGTAATAATGGGTATCGGGTCGTTGGTGTTTGTAGTTCCGCACTTTATTGCGGAAGTCAATAGCGAAACTTTGGCAAACAATCAATCGGAAGAAAACATCTGTCGGCTAACACATGCCCTCGACCAAGACATGGTCGGACGTTTATCAGTACAAGGCCTACCGCCAAACAATTTGAGACCAGATAACTGTATTAAGGTAATGTTGTACCTCACGGTTATTTGTTTTTTTTTTACGATATTTAATGTAGCATGTAGCCCGCCGACAGTCAGATAACTTGGACAAAGTGATTGTGACGGGCAAAGTAGAAGGAAAGAGACCCCGCGGCCGATTACCTAGCCGTTGGTGTGATTAAATAACCGCCCTAACTGGGCTGCCAGTCGCAACCGCCATTCGAGAAGCTGAGGACCGGACGATGAGGAAACAGCTCACGAGACAGGCCACGGTCAAGTTTCAGGGACACGACCTTCAGCAATGAAGATTTTTTTATTTATTGCTTAGCTTGAGCACCTTGAGATATAAGTTATAAGGTCTCGGTATAGTTACAACGACTACCCCACCCTTCAAACCGAAACGCATTACTGCTTCACGGCAGAAGTAGGCGGGGTGGTGGTCCTACCCGTGCGGACTCACAAGAAGTCCTACCACCAGAAAGCGACGAAGAAGAAAGAATGTAGCATATTTGTTGTTGCAGAGCACTCCGAGCACATTCTTGCCAGTAATGGTGTTCATAGTTGCTCAACTATTGCTCGGTTGCGGCGGATCGCCATTGCTGACGCTCGGCACAACTTACGTCGACGATCACGTACGCCCTGAATCTTCTAGCATGTATATCGGTGAGTCATTTTATTTTCACAGTTCATTAAAACGACAACAACAAATTTTATAACGTAATCTAAAAGTGACCTCCGTGCCAGAGAAGTCTTAAGTTGACGCATTTCGACCTCCCTCGCGTCCGTCACGTAAGAACGCAGAATTTTTATTGTTTGTCTTTATTGTCACTCCGCCAGAGTTAGACTCGTAATGCTCGCGTCCCTCTCGTTAACAACGCAGACATCACAGGAGTCACTGAACTTAATATAGCTAGACGTTTGCTACATAGACTCGACAGGATTCACTAAAAAAAAAACATATATTAAAGCAACACGCAAAGGTTTATTATTGTTCGCTAGGAGCTATTTGCCTACAAATCGTAAAATAGGTCTCGCGATTTCAATATTAATATCAGAGTAACGTTGTTATCTATAATGAATTTCCCGTCTTTAAGATGATTTATCGGTATGATATTGAAGTTTGCTTGCTATCAAATATATTGATTGGCATTCGTTTACAATGTTCCATTTTCTTATTATGCTGTTCAACTTTTATAGTCTATGTGTTAGTAGTGAACAAAATCTATTTTTTTATTGGAACGTTCCTCTCTCAACGGGCTTTTTAGTAGAATATAATGCGATGCATGATATTGTAATAACCGCAGGAGTTCATTAAATGAATAGTTACGGCAGGTTGTTGAACTTGTAGAAATTGTTGAACGCACCGGAGTGTAGCGTCACATGCAATATTCGTTACTTATTCATGCAATGTCAAATATGTAATAAAAACATTTAACATATTGTAATCAGTCACATTTAAAGTATATAGGTGTACATAAAGATTATTTTTACTATCGAGCCAATGTTAAAGAAATAAAAAAAATAATGACATATTCAATAATTTATTATTATACATTCTTGTGCGTTAAAATGTTTGAAATTTATCATACCATACATTATGGGTACCGTAATTATTTATATTGTTCGAAATTATGTTAAGTGTTCACCAGGTATCTGGACCGATAACTGTTTTTTTTTTTTGTTTGATATTCACCCGGTCATTGACTTGAATAAAGTCAAGCATAACATTGATCAAAGTCAATTGAAAACTATAGATATAAAAAGAAATTCATTTCTTGTAGTATACTAAATTAAAGTACCGGGAACGTGACCTGTGTTACTTGACTTGAATATGCAGGAATTTAATGAACGTTGAACATAATTTTTGTACGAAAATTTCAAAACATCAATAAATTTTATTGATAAAAAATGTTTACATTTATTTCACTTCGTGTTCCATATTAGTTGTATCGTTTGTTTGTGGAATAATACAGGGTGTGATTATTTTTATAAAACCCATTATGATTTTCATAAAATTAAAGCTCGAAACAGAACTTCACTAGCTTTCAAAAATGTTATACTATATGTATAAAATATATAATATAATAACTATATATAGTAGTTACATTGGCGATTATATTTTTTTTGCTTATAATGATGATATGACTAAGTCATGAATCAAATGCAATACGATTAGATTAGTCTTCAATTTTGAGTATCGTAATTAACGGTTCAGATACACTCTGTGAGTAACGTTGATCTGTGACCAATGCCGTTCGTCCAATATTCCTGTTATGACTATGATCGTTGCTATTATTTTGATGTCCTCATAAAATATTTCTTCATTGTCTTTCTTTGATCAAATGTATTTAGCGGTTCATTTTTATTTGTAATTTCTTTTTTTATTCAAATTTTTATTTTTATATCACCATTGCCACAATTTCTGGCTTTAACTGTAAACCAATGTTAACCGCTCTATTCTAATCCTAAGGAAAATTGATGTTTATTACAATTCATTGTTTTGACGTACACAAAATTAAGCCTACATTAATTGGCACTAATGATCGCAAGTAGTAAAAAGATTATTTGCCATAGGTACTTACCAACCACAAATAACCTATGTGTTGTTGGACAAATAAAAAAAAGATACACTAAAGAGATTTTGCTTAATTGAGTTTGAGACTTCGAACTATAAAACGAAACTGTAATATAAATATTTAAAATAAAAGAATTAAAGTAAGAAAGCGATTGTGACCGTCGAAGCGAGGTGGATTTAATAAGACTCTTATATGTCAAGACTCGCATAGCCGAGTCCCGAAGTCAAGTACCTCTTGTTCGCCGTCAGTCAGGTTCACTTTGAAAACGTTCTCAAGCGCGTTTTATACACACAAAAAGTATATTTATGTTCGTAAGAACTTAACAAAAATCCGTTCTTCGAGGCCCTTTAAAAAAACAATAATATTAATTGAAAATGTTCAAATTTTTTTAAACAAAAACAAAAAAGCGAAACGTGCATTTATGAATTGAGATGAAAGAAAAATGTTTCATAATATTTTAAACGTCAAAAACGGAAATCCGAAATATTATGCACATTTCAAAATTTGGCAGACCATCACTCATTTGGCATTAAATGAACTGGGAAATTCACGTTACTCGTAACCGTGCAAAACAAAGAATGCCCCAGTTTTCGATTCGTAATGTTATTAACGTCGCTGAACACGTATTTTTTTTCTTTCTATAAAACTATGAAATGCTAAAATAGACGAGCAGGCTATGTTTATTTCCAATTAGATTTATGTGAGTTTAAAATTTCAGGATGCATGTACAGCATGGCTGCTTTCGGCCCTGTCCTCGGCTTTTTGCTTGGTGCCTACTTATTATCTTTTCATATGGATTCGTTTTCCGGCGCTATTATATCGATTGGTAAGATTTTAAATGGTTCGATAAATATTATGCGTTTGCCATCGAAACGTTCGTAACTGTGAATACCATATACATGTTTGATTTTCTTGATTTCAGGTCCCGGTGACCATCGTTGGGTCGGAATGTGGTGGGGCGGTTTCCTACTCTGTGGCTTACTTCTGATTCTCGTTGCGGTTCCGTTCTTCTCTTTCCCAAAAGTCTTGGTTCGAGAAAAAGAGAAAATCAGACTTGTAGAGAAAGCGGCCGCCGCTAGCGGTGCGTCGACTTCTAAACCACCGCCCAAACCACAAACCGATATTAAGGACTCCGGCTATGGGAAAGACATAAAAGGTGCGTTTATGTAACTAGACACTATAATATGCATAAATATGTATATTTGAAATATTGTAATGCCATATTCAAAGAGTGACTACGGATTATATATTACAGTCATACCTACCTACTAGCTTGTAAGGCTTCATCAGAATTTTGCAATTAGAATAGAATACATAGAAATTATTCGCAGGTATTGTTTTTGTTGACCTTATCAAATTCTTGAAGAGACCATGTGTTATTTAGGTAATTAGTATTATATGAATAACAGTGATTTAGAGAAAAATTCAACAACGAAAGTTGCAAGAGAATAATTAACCCTGATGTCGTCTGATAACCTAAACTGACCTAAAGTAATATTTAACGTATTCTTTCTACTGGAGTCATGGTCTAGACGGCTGGCCGATCCTTCGGCTGGTCGTAGGACCGTCGAGGCGATTCGCCCGGTTCTTGTGAACTGGGTGAATCGTGACAGAGGACGCCTCACTTTCCGGCTCACGCAGGTGCTCACTGGGCATGGTTGCTTCGGTGAATTCCTGCACCGGATCGGAGCCGAGCCGACGGCAGAGTGCCACCATTGTGGTTGCGACTTGGACACGGCGGAGCACACGCTCGTCGCCTGCCCCGCATGGGAGGGGTGGCGCCGTGTCCTCGTCGCAAAAATAGGAAACGACTTGTCGTTGCCGAGTGTTGTGGCATCGATGCTCGGTGACGACGAGTCGTGGAAGGCGATGCTCGACTTCTGCGAGTGCACCATCTCGCAGAAGGAGGCGGCGGGGCGCGTGAGAGACGCACAGGCCCGCCGCCGTCGAGCGGGGGCCAGGGAGGCGGATATCGCCCAAGCCCTGGCCCTCTAAGTGTTTCGGGTCTCCCTCACATGTCGGCCTGGGGACCGGCGAAGGGGGCCTAAGAAGACGACGTGCAAGCTGCTCTGCACGCGTTTTATGCATGAGCATCCGGGTGATGGAAGGCCGGCTATCCTCAACCCACGCTGGTTCTGACCCAGCGGGGTATTCCGTAGGATAGACCATTCTAACCGGCGCCATCTAGGCGGGCTTCGGATAGCCTGCCGACCGAGAGGGCTGGTGGTCGTGGCGCCGACGACCGCCAGTCCGGCGTCCCGAGGGGGAGGGTGATGGGAGAGATGTGCTCCGCACTAAACGCTTCACTTTCCCCCCTTTGCCTTTTCATGAGTTTTGTCTCATGCGAGGTTTGGACGTTGGTTGTTGAGAGACAGGAGGTTTTAGTCGGTTCGACTCCGACATGGCCCGCCCTTCATCCCCAGTGAAGGGTGGAAGTCCGGCGATTTCCTCCTGACAAAAAAAAAAAAAAAAACCTGTTCTTCCTACGATTTTAGTTTGATATTTTTGAGCTTTTGCAAACGTTATGTTCACGGGTAGACTGTGTAATTATATGTGAAGATATATATATAATGTGTAATTATATCTAACTTCTTTCTGGTTCTATTTTGGTGTACCACTTTAACTCGATAGCTCGCGTCGACAACTTTTTTTTTATTGCCCTTGTAGGCAGACGAGCATACGGCCCACCTGATGGTGAGTGGTTACCGTCGCCCATGGACTTCAGCAATGCCAGGGGCAGAGCCAAGCCGCTGCCTACCGTAATAAACTTACAAAATCGAAATTTTTTTTACGACTTTAAAAACGATGTTTTTATTAAACCTTATTACTGGATTCCGCTCGCTTGACAACTCGCAGACAACAACCCGATAGAAGTATCTAGAGGTTTTTTTTTACCAAACTCTTGTACTTAGTGGCGTTCAGTTGATAACACCTATGGCCTGGTAAACGGATTCCAATGAAAACGGACTCCGGTGTGTGTCCAACGATGACGGCTATGAAACTTGATTCGAGACGATTCGTAAAGCAAAACGATTTAATAATAATAATAATAATAATAAACATCGTACGTTGCCTCAAGTGTCACGTACATAAAGTGCAGAGTCTTCACGGAAATCATTACAAATCGCTGATCATTGTAATATTCAACAATAATGGAAATCCACGTAAAAAAAACATGTCTTCTACGTTTTGTCTAAGAATACACTGACATTATTATTATATTTTCAAACTAAAGATATTGTAGTTAGGTACGTGACTTTAAAACTTTGACGCGTGACGTCACATCTTGCAACGCAATTACGCAAGTTTATATTATAAAAATTGGATGATTTTATTTCACAACGCAATAAATCTTATCGTGAAACAACAATAACAAAGTTCATGAACCCACGTTAAGTATATACCTACATACGTTGGAACCACGACATAGCTTCATCACAAATGATATAACACACGGCGCCTTCTGAAGTATGGAAGACATTTGTCGATGGTTTTAAATAACCGGTATTTATTATTCATAACAACTTGACCACTTCGTAGTGCCGTACACCTGACTATTGTGGCCCCGAATCCAAAATCGATGATTGGAGTCAGGCTAAAAATATTGACGCCTTCCGCTCTAACAGTAGAAACAGAGACCCCGGTGACCGTGCTCGTCGAACTCAGCAAAGAGTTCGATATGCAACCTAACCTAAACATCAGCCCGTTGAGTCTCTCGCCGGATCTTCCGTCCGGTACCTCATCGTTCGTAGTTTTTTTTTTTTATTGCTTACATGTGTGGACGAGCTCACAGCCCACCTGATGTTAAGTGGTTACTGGAGCCCATAGACATCTACAACGTAAATGCGCCACACACCTTGAGATATAGTTCTAAGGTCTCAGTATAGTCACAACGGCTGCCCCACCCTTCAAACCGAAACGCATTACTGCTTCACGGCAGAAATAGGCGGAGCGGTGGTACCTACCCGTGCGGACTCACAANCCTGATGTTAAGTGGTTACTGGAGCCCATAGACATCTACAACGTAAATGCGCCACACACCTTGAGATATAGTTCTAAGGTCTCAGTATAGTCACAACGGCTGCCCCACCCTTCAAACCGAAACGCATTACTGCTTCACGGCAGAAATAGGCGGAGCGGTGGTACCTACCCGTGCGGACTCACAAGAGGTCCTACCACCACCTACCGTCTTTTTTTGAGGTCACCGCAATGGATTCTACATTGATGCGAATAGCGGGCAAATTCTAGAAATATAATCATAGATAGATGTGCTCCAAATAACTAAACAGTGTTGAACATTTTCCAGATATACCGGTGTCGATGTGGAGGCTGTTAAAGAACCCCGTATACGTTGTCACGTGTCTCGGTGCTTGCATGGAACTCATGATCGTGTCTGGTTTCGTCGTCTTCTTGCCCAAATATTTAGAAACGCAGTTCAGCCTCGGCAAAAGTCAAGCCAGTGTTTTTACCGGTAAGTGATTCGAACACTTAAATTTGAAATAACTTGACTTGAATTAAATAGGTGTTGCGTCTATTTCTTAGAGGTATCTTGAGGTGGCCAGGAGAATGAATAAATGCGTTCACTTCTTCAAATACTAATTAAGTTGTTTTTAATTATTTTACAAGTATAGGTAAATTGACATGCGCGTCGAATCTTTTTTCTCCATGTATTAATTTTTAATATTTGACGATTGGTATCACTGTTGCGTTCCCTGATTTCTCATTGGTTCGTGCGATATCACGTCACCGCTGGCCAATCATGTATGACGCGACGTTGCTTCGTTAACAATAGGGTGTAAAGAGGCCTTTAGCAAGCACAAACAGCAAGAACCAAGAAATTGTTATTATGAGTATTCGCAGTGGACATAGATCACGCATCAGCTGACTCACAATTCGCCTTACATTGCTTGTTACTTTTCGATCGCCTCTTTTTTGTGTATCTTATATTATATATCATATCGAGGGGTAAAAGCCTATTTGGTTTAAGGGTCATTTTTGCAACTTTACAAAAGACCAATTTAAAGTTTAAATTTTGGAAAAAAAAACAAGATAAACTTCAGCTATTTGATTTTGGTAAACTTAAATACCTTACACAAATACCAAAATAAAACCGACCTTTAATAACAAAAACAAATGTCGCGTATTAACCGAAATATCGCTTAAACCAAATAACCCTTCACCTCTCGATATATTATCAAAATTTATTAGGTTATTCTGAAACTGATGATTTTGTTTTATTCGTAGGCTCCGTCGCCATACCGGGTGCGTGCATAGGAATCTTTATGGGCGGATGTTTACTGAAACGTTTGGAGTTGCGACCCAAGGGCGCCGTACAGTTTGTGCTCATATCAAACATCATTTGTCTCTCTTGTTACGCGCTGCTGTTCTTCTTGGGCTGCGATAACATTAAGATGGCGGGAACTACAATTCCTTACACCAACAACAGGTAGGATTGTACTTTTTTTTCCTATCTATGCTAATAGCCTTGAGAGGGGCTATATCAGCGTTGCACTAGCGTGTAGGTGAGCTCTCGGAACTCAAACCGGAGGTGTTGCTAACACTGACCCTAGCAAGAGCAGTGCTTCGCAGAATCTACCACCGGATCGAAAACGCGACCCATTGAAAAGATCCGGCGAGAAACTCAGCAGGCTAGACTGTACCGAAAATTGAAATTACTATTATTATTATTTTATTTTATTTTGACAAAATCCTCGAGCAAGCATAAGCACCGAACTGTAAATTTAAATATTGCGAATATCTACATATTAATATGTGAAGCAAAAACTTTATACCCCCAAATAATTTTTGTCTTTATTAATATTTGCCTAAAGTGTAGTCTTGACGAAATCCGTGATTATAGAAGGAAAACAGTCTTTAACGATTGAATCATAATAGTGTACAAACTTATAATTACAATTAATTATAGTCGAATTTCGAATATGTACCGGGGGACCACTAGTGTTTTCAAGGTGGGTAGCGCATTTACGTTGTAAATGTCTATGGGCTCCAGTAACCACTTAACACCAGGTGGGCTGTGAGCTCGTCCGCCCATCTAAGCATTAAAAGAATAATAATAAAAATGTCTCTATAGTGGAACATGAAAATTACATGCAGTTTTTTTTGTTTTGTTTCTTACAGTAACCTGGAACCTTTCAAAGTGAATCTGACGGCCGCGTGCAATTTAAACTGCCTATGCACGGAGACGGACATGGAACCGGTCTGCGGGAACAACGGCCTCACGTACTTCTCGCCCTGTCACGCCGGATGCGCCAAGTTCTCCTCGCATCGCTCCAATTTCACCAACTGCGCATGTACGAATAATTCTAGAACTTTACAATGTTACCTATTCATTACGATTTGGGGCAGGTCGGACAAAAACGACATCATGGTCTTAGTTCGTCAGTATAGTCTTGGAGCAGCGGTCGGGAAACTTTTTAATTATTACACCAAAATATTTTTGGGTAAGTTGATATTACCCCATGGCGAAGAATAAAAAAAAAACGAAATCGCTTCTTTTTAGTATCTTTCATATTATAGCCCTCATGATAATTTTAAAAAGAAAATAATAACTAAAAATGTAACGATTCTAAAGAAGTTTCTCTTCAATATATATTTTTACCCCCCAAAATTTCATTTTACCCCATTTAGGGTAATTTACCCCGGTTTCCCGACCGCTGTCTTAGAGGGTTCGCGATAAAATTTATGTTACGACTCACAAGTTGTGCTGTCTCGAAACTATCAACTTTGACATTGTTTGAATGGACAACATGAATCAAAACTTGCTTTTTTTACAAAAATGTTAATAAATAATGCGGTTAGCGTGGTATGGACGTGTGATGCGTAGAGATGCATGTGATCAGGAGATGTATGGAAATTTTAGTGCAGGGTAGAGGGGGAAGAGGTCGACCGAAGAAGACACGGATGGAGTGTGTGAATGATGATATGAGAGTGAGAGGAGTGAGTGTTGAGATGACGGCTGATAGAAAAGAATCGAATAGAAAAAGTCACTCTGCCGACCTCAACTAGTGGAATAAGGTGGAGACAAAGAAGAAGAAGTTAATAAATATAGCAGAGTACAATCATTTAACTGTAATCAATTTTTTTATACATTGTTCATTCTTCGACGAACGACTCGCGTCGATAGGTGATACGCTTAATCGATATTATCTTCAACCTTTCATGTGTACAAGCCGATTGTTGCTCGGGTCACCTACGACAAGTAATCACGTATATTTAGTAATTTTTAAACTGGAAACTAGGTACTTCTCACTTCAACAGATAACCTCGTTATCGTATTTAAGCTTGTTAATAAATGAAATGAGAATTATTATACTTCAACGATTATATTCAAAAAAATATCGATAATATTACAATAGATGTGCATAGCGCGATTTCAGATAACTTTTCTGTATTCTGGCACCTACCATCCGGTTTTGGAATGAATTTCCCTCCACGCTGTTTTCTGAGCGCTATGACATGTCCTTCTTCAAACGAGGCTTGTGGAGAGTAACTATAGGCAGTGGCTTAACTCTTCGTCTGGCATTGCGGACGTTAATGAGCGACGATAATCATCAACTGAGCTATGTAAGGGTCTGTCTACAATTGTCCAATGTATGGTTCCTATAGCATGATAATGTCTTATCAAATCAGTTTCGTTAATGTTAAGTAAAATCGATAGATATGACGTGTGTCTTCTTCTTTAATTTTGGCTCCGGCACGGTTTGTGCATTAGCTAGCGTCAAGTAATAAGATTTTTATAATTCTCCATGTTAATTATGTACTGTTTATGAATAATAAAAAACGAAGGAAACTTAATCAATTGGCATGAAATTAAATGAAATGAGATGATATGGGATGAAATATAACCTCAGTAAAATGGTGGTTATTTACTGAGACTTTTTGGAGGATCCCGACAAGCAACGTCCAGCGGCTTTGTTTCATTTTCCCACACTTATGCACTTTTACAGATACAAATTTTATTATATTTTATATACTTATTTTATTACAGTTAATAAACCACCGTTATGACACATTTAAACCTGAAGAAACACTAAATAGACAAAATAACAAAAATTCACACAACTTCGCTCGTCGCGTTCCCGCTAAATAGCCAGATATTTGTATCTTTTATAATAGAGACCGCTTTTGTTAGTTAACGCGTATTATGGGTGTCGGTTCCAGGCGTGCACGAGAACAGCATGGGCGGCGGCGGCGTGGTGGCGGCGGCGCTGCGCTCGGACTCGCGCGCGCAGTACAGTGACGTCACCATCGTGCCCGTGGCCACGGCGGGCCCCTGCAACCCCCCCTGCACCACCATCTTCCCCTTCCTCGTGCTGCTCTTCTTCATGACGTTTGTTGTAGCCGTTACGCAGATGCCGCTCCTCATGATTGTACTCAGGTAAATAGCAGCTTGATTTTTTTTAAGCTATTGCATAGCCTTTATCTCGGGCCTTGAGCGCGGCGACCAAATCATGAAATTCCGTAACGAAAAAAACCTTGCACCCCTCACTCCGCCTACCATGTATGTCGCGTTCAACACATTCACACGTTGCGCTTGTGTCGTCACACTGCATGCGCATCATGAAAAGTCTACCCATCTCTCTCTCGCGCGGTCTAGTTTATGCGTGTAAAGGGGACAGTTAAGGTTTTGCTTTTATTAATGTTTAATATAGCGTGGTCTTGTTTTATTATTGTTTTAATATTTAATTATCATTGTCTAATTATAATTGCATAAGTTGATAAAAAATGCTATGCAATAGCTTTACTGCGGCAGTTCCCGAGTGACACACGTTTTTTTTTTTTCATACCTAGTTGAATTAATATATTTTTTTCATGCAGCCACTGTTGCATTTCACTTTTTAGCTTTGCCATTGTTGGCAATTTGTTTAGCTGTGTGCAATGGTATGGAACATTGCCCATAATCACAAGTGACTTTTCAGGCAAATTTGGGATTACCTTTTCAGTCATCTACTTTAGAAAAGTACCGGAGTTCATATCGTCATGATAATCCGATGACTTTGACTGGGACTTAAAAATGAATAGAGCATTCTCAACAAAACCATTTTCAGATCCAGCATGAGCAATTATCCTTCTTTCTTTTTCCTACCTATGCTGATAGCCTTGAAAGGCTGTTTCAGCGTCGCCTTAACCAGCAGGTGAGCTCACGGGGCTCAAACCTGACGACAGCAGCTCGACAAAATATGAGATCGCATCTATTCTTAATCGTCCATGGCCTGATGATTAAAAGAACCAGAACCAGACGACAATAAGATCATAATATTTCTGCTGTAAATAATTCTTTCATTCATTACACATCACATTATTATTTGTAATGTTACCATAGTCTGTTTAAAGACAATGACTGGCAATCAAATTTTATCGCTTTATATCGAAGGCTATTTGGTTTATGCGACATTTTTACAATTTTATAGGAGAGCCATTTAAAGCTTAAATTTTTGTAAAAAATATCATGACCTAAAAAAACTACTTCAGCTATTAGAATGGGGTAAACGTAATTGAAGTTAAAAACATCGAATTGTTGATGTTAATACCAAATAAAACGGACCTTTAATTATAATGATAAATGTATCGTATTAAGCGTAATGTCACTTACACCAAATAGACTTTCCTCCCTCGATATAATTCGCGTTTATTATTTTCATTTTTTTACGCTTTCTTAAACTTCGCAATCGTCGTGATTACGAACTTTAGACAATTGTTTGGATTGTTCCAGATCTGTGAGCGAAGAAGAACGTTCGTTTGCTCTCGGTATGCAGTTTGTGATATTCCGTTTGTTTGGATACATACCGGCCCCAATACTTTTCGGTAATCTCATCGACTCCACGTGTATTCTGTGGAAACAATCATGCAGCGGCGAGAAAGGCGGACGTTGCCTGTTGTACGATATCGAGCAATTCCGATACAGGTAGTTTTTTTTTATATATACTTAATGCAAGCCTGTACGACTCATTCACCATAAACATGCTAAGATCTAATGGAGTTCGAATTTTAAAATTATCTACATACATTCTGTGAATATTTTCTTTAAAAGACTGATCACCTTTTATAATTAACCTTATCTTAATATTGTAGGTATGTAGGCTTGTGTGGCGGAATAAAAATCGTAGCTCTAGGCATCTTCCTAGCAGACTGGTGGTTGGTTAGAAGAAGGAAAAATCTCGAGACCGCCGCACCGCTCGATCCTCACAAAGACATCGCCGGTTCAATCATCAGCCTCGACAAACGTGAGTCTAGAGAAATCACACTCTTCACAATATCTCAGCGGGGTGTCTCCGTGACCGCAGCATTCAACCTGATTTCGTTACAGTATTCGAGGAGTTGCCGTCGGCGGAGAACGCGAGCGGGTTCCGGTCAGGCGTGACGTCAGGACTGAGCTCGGCGAGCAGCACGCCGCTGGAGCCGGCCGCGGCCGAGAGCCTGCAGCGCGTCGACTCGCAGTACAAGAACTCGCGCGTGCTGGTCGCGTCGCGCCATCTCCGCAACGACTCCAAGACCATCCAGCTGGAGCCGCGCACCCGCCAGCGGTCGCTCGACGAGTCCGAGCGAGCGTTCCCGCGCTCAGCCTCGCGGGACTTCCCCGGACACTCGAGAAACGGATCGCGCGACTTCAAGGTGCACTCGCGATCGGACTCACGCGATCTCAGCCTCGACCAGCTGAGGCAGCTGGCGCTCCGCAGCGTCGAGAGCCTCGATCTGAACGTGCTGCCGCTCGCCAAGTGTGCCGACGAGGAGAGCAAGCGGCTGATAGAGAGCGGGGGCGTATTGCGCCACCGGCGAACGAGTTCGAGGGACATCAAGCCGCCAGAATCGAAACACAAACGGACTTCGTCACATCACATCACAATGGAGCCAAATGAACTCAGCCTTCAGATACAAAAAGGACGTAGCGTCGATCACCTGGCATCCGCGCCTCTAGAACCCCGCGTGTGAGTCAACCGCGAGTGACGATTTCGTCGCGGAAGGAATCTCAAACGGCGTCGAAGCTCCATGAGGAAGCTTTGCTGGTCGCTTTATGGCTTGACCTCGTAATGCAAAATAGTAAAATTCAGCTTCTGTAGACTAATTTTATTTTGACTACTTAGATAAATAAATGAGTGATTTCAAATCATATCCTAATGGGTCGTGTTATATTGTTTTCTTATATTTCAATGAAAAACATTTTGAAGTTAAATATATATTTAGAAGAAGAAAAACTGCACTGATGTGGTCAAACACACTAATTGTGTTTATTATTAGCCATGGCAGCAATTTTTAGCATCAAATTACTGTACTTAATACTTTTTAAAACAGATCTTCTCAATTAAACCCGTGGAAGTTATTAAAAAACTTTTAAAACATTTAGTGATTTTAGAAAATTAAAGTTGCATCGTTTTTATTTTAATATACCATTGTGACTACTTTGTATTTCAGTGCTCTGTAGTTAAACCAATTGAAATATGTCTAGAATAATATTTCCTATTTTAATAAATGTTTGCATGATCATATTATTGAAAATAAATCACAACTATGTAGATGTTACTATAGAAAGAAAAAATATCACTTAAAGTAGACTGATGTGAATATCACAGTAAAATTTTTAATTGTAAAGGTTGTCTGTAATATGCCACAAATTATTAGTAGACCGCAATATTGTGATATGAAATAATTTTTAATTCTAACAAAAAAATTTAGAAATAGGTATGTCTTGAGAGCAGTGGGATCACTGAACCAATGCCATTTATGCCTTATTTTGCTATAAATTTCAAAGTTTAAATGGAATGCATATATACTTGAACATTTTTTAATTGTATTGTATTTTGACTTACTCTGACATTCCTATTAAGGATCAAGGATATATGTTGCCATAATGTCACATTCAAATTTTGTAACAAATGCTATCTCACAGCAGAATAGGCATTACTCCTACACAACTGAGACTTCAACCGAATGTATCAAACGGTCCATTGCTATTCAGTGTATTGTCAAAGGGCTCCAGTAAACTATTTACATCAGATGCTCCACTAACTTGTCCGCCCATTCAAGAAAAAAATATGTGTATAATGGTTTATGGATTTTGAAACGACAAAATTTAAGTGACCGATACACTTACAAAATATGTAAAAGTTCTTAGCTTTTCATATTTTCGATTTCCAGAATTTGTTGTCACTATGTCATGTGTTCATATTTACCATTTTTTTATTATTACCTACCATCCACTACAATAAGTTGTCTTGAACAGCAGCATAAACAATATTTTGCATATCATGTCTGTTATACTGGTTACATATAGAACATAAAAATATGAAATACAAGCATCTTTTTTAGTTATTTCTTAAAATTGATGTATTAAAAAAGGTGTCAATTGTCAGGCTGCTCCTTTGGTACTAGAAATCAATTAAAATTATATAAATTTATTTTAATAGCAATGTAAACACTAATATGAAGCAATATAGTATTAAGAAATATATATCAGAGATATATTTAATTAAAAAAGACAAGAGAGATGTTGTCTGTGTAAATTTTGTCACATATATGTTAAGAGAGGTTATAGTTTCATATGGAAAAAGAGTGTTTTACCTAAAATGCCTTACTACAATAGGTCTTAAGACTTGATAGTGATACTGACTTAGGTGTATGTAAATGAATGTTGTTATGTCAATCACACAGATAAGTACGATGTTAACAACTTCTAAAATAATTTGTTGCATTTAGTGAATAAATTAAAATTGCATTCTTATTTTATTGAAGTTTACTTTATTGTAGCATATTTTATTTATTCTTTAATAATATGTAAGTTTCTACTCCGTCAATCTGCACTCTTCAAAATTAGTTGATGATAATCACCTATGGCATGTAAGATAAAATTTGAAAGTAATTCTGAATTCGAAAGGTAACAATGTACTAGTCCATACAACTTAATGAAATGTTTGTTTATGAACAATTTGTCTCAAACTTATTCAGCTACCTACAGTACAAGCACTATTATTTAACGGATTCTTATGATTTTCCAACAATTTTTTTACCCATGATCTAATTGAACCTCAGGTGAATTTCTGTATTGGTTTACCACTTGGGCTTGCAACATCGCCAATAAACTGGGAACTTTCTTTATTGTCCTTGTAAACAGACTAACATACAGCCAACCTGATAGTGAGTGGTTACCATCGTTCATAATGTCAGCAATGCCAGAGGCAGACCCAAACTGCTGCCTACTGTTGTATTAAATCATTAAATTCATTTACTCATGAACTTATTAAATCTAAAAATCGTGATAAGAACCCCTTAAACTTTATTAAGCTAATTACAAATACTTTCAAGATATACTATTCATCAGTTTAATACATGATTATTATATAAGATCTGAGCTCTAACCCCACACAATTGAAATGCATTAATCAGATCATAGCTGTCACTATAGATAGTAACTATAATATAAGACATATTGTTCCTCAGCATTCAGGAATAACTCAATCCTATTAGCACTATTGAATTTTCAATTGATAGTGCCTGTAACATTTACAACATTGAAATCTTCTTAGAGCTTAAAGGAATGTTTGTAATATAGTGATGCTAAATAAAATGCAAAACTTTCAAATCCACATTGCTTTTCATAATCCCTAGACCATTTATGATGATACCAAATTGACTGAACCTCTTTTTTATTTATTTATTGAATGGATATATGAAAGGAAAAGGAAGAACAAATATCAGTTAAATTAAAAAATTAACAAAACATTCAATATTGCAGCATCCTCACTTTCTTTATCTATAGACACTATTAATTGGTGTAATTTTAAAGAAGGTATAGTCCTCATCGAGAGAAGCTATAAATTTTGTAGACACACATTCTGAGGTTCACAAGCTATGGATCAAATAAAAATATAAATTTTATCAGTGATATAAATTTTTGTACAGATGTTAAATTAACCTGTGAAATCAACAAACTGAAACACATTTGAAAATATATTTTAGGTATATGGATGATCAATAAAATGGCTAAAAAATAATATGACACATTATTTAACTACATAACTTTATTTAACTACAAACATGATTTTTCTCTATATTTAATAGCAATAACAAACTTTAAGTCTAAATAATTCTTTCTTACATACTTTGATATACCAGAAATAACAACTAGACAACTTTAATCTAACTCACCTGAATCTGAGATGACAACTTTCTTTATTGGTTTACCACTTTTAGAACCAAGTTTTTCCATTTTCTGCACAACATCCATACCTTCAACCACAGACCCAAATACTACATGTTTTCTATCCAACCAAGGAGTCGGAACTGTGGTTATAAAAAATTGAGACCCATTTGTATTCGGTCCAGCATTCGCCATTGATAAAATTCCAGGCCCAGTATGCTTTAATTTGAAATTCTCATCTGAGAAGGTACGCCCGTAAATAGACTTTCCGCCGGTACCGTTGTGATTGGTAAAATCTCCACCTTGACACATGAAGTCTGGTATTATTCTATGAAATGATGAACCCTTGTACCCAAAACCTTTTTCACCAGTACACAGAGCTCTAAAGTTCTCAGCAGTTTTCGGTACTTCATCCGTGTTCAATTTTATGACTATACGTCCCAATGGCTCTCCGTCAGCAGTTACATCGAAATAAACTTGTTTATCAGGTTGAGTCGAAGCAAAACGAAGTGCTGCAGCAGAGTATATTGTCCCATTGACTAAAGTTCGCCGAAGCATTGATACCGGTATCATGATTGGGATTTTCATCACAGACTAGATATATGCGTCCAGTCTATTTCACAATGTGTACTTTTGAAATGATTGCTTGAAATGTTATTTGAAGTTATTATACTCCCATTCCCTAAACATTACAAAATTATGTTATTAAAATAAAATAATAAAGAAATTGTTAGAAACTGTTGTATAGATGATTTTCAAATTATATTACTGTTACGTACATATTCATTTTACATATTTAAAAAAAAACNTGCGATGGGTGGCACATACACCTTTTCACCGGTTCACACTCAACCTTTTACTTAGTATATAACGAAGGGCGCGCGCGCACAATTTACTCAATATCGAACGAGCGTATCTCCGCGTGCCGTCATGTACCGCACTGTTATGAGAGGTGCGGGGTGCGTACGGGCGACGGCACCCGAGTTGAGCCGAACATTTACAAACGTCGCGCTGTCGCGCGAACAACTATTTTCCTCAAATTCTATTCAATGGGTTTTTTTTTATTGCTTAGATGGGTGGACGAGCTCACAGTCCACCTGGTGTTAAGTGGTTACTGGAGCCCATAGACATCTACAACGTAAATGAGCGACCCAGATTGAGATATAAGTTCTAAGATCTCAAGTATAGTTAGTTACAACGGCTGCCCTACCCTTCAAACCGAAATGCATTACTGCTTCACGGCAGAGATAGGCAGGGCGGTGGTACCTACCCGCGCGGACTCACAAGAGATCCTAACACCAGTAAAACGTTTGAACGTTAAAACATAACAGACAGACAAAGCTATCTCCTTTTTAATAATACTTGCCATCTAATTTTTAACATCATTCATCACGACTTTTTCCAATATTGATGAATCAAACTGACTAGTCTACTTGTGAAAAAAACATAAAAAATCTGCGGTATCGAAGATATGCACGAACAAATATACAGATGGACAGAAAATATTTCTAACTAGCTGACCCGGCAGACTTCGTAATGCCTCAATCGAGAAATAAAAGACCTAAGCTTTTGTACAAAATAAACTTAAAACAAACAAAAGGAATCCGTGCGACGGAGGACACATCCAAGGAAAAACTAAATTTTATTTTTATTTAATTCCGAGTATTTTCCTATTTTTATACCTTTTAAACCTTCTATGGACTTCCACAAATAATTCAAGACCAAAATTAATCAAATCGGTCCAGCCGTTCTCAAGTTTTAGCGAGAACGAACAGCAATTCATTTTTATATATATAGATAGATAGATAATCGCCAGTTCATAATCTCTTCGTCACTCTCTTTCTACTCTTACTATTATAATTTTCTTTAATATACAGACATATCGAATTCTATTGATTTGTTATAATGGTAAGAGATGATGATGATGGTGATCACAGTAGCGAAAGGTACTTTTATTATTTGAAAACTTTAAAAATAAATAAAAAATACCAAAATCCATTTCTCGCGTGACCCTCTAACGAATAAATATTTTATACGACATCCTATAATATTAAAAAAATATGCTTATTTGGTGTTTAGTTGATCAGATTCACCTACACACCATATAGTATTTTTAAGTTCTAAACATCTTTATATAAAAAATAATAGTTTCAGTGGATAGATTAATATTCACAGTATTCTTAGCAGCAGTTTTCATTAAAAGTTATAGCTAAATCGACTTACTCGTTTAAGTAATGCTCTGTCTAGCCTTGGTTAAAACAGATTGCCCCATTAGCTAGTCTATCTTCTTGACTAGAATATTTTAGTGTATAGCTCTCAATTCAGGCTTAAGTTTTAAGTTAGAAACCATTATCTTAGTAAGTGCGGCTGGACGAGAAAACTTGGATAATTTTCATAGCAAAGACTATTGTCGGGTGCACTTAGTGGCAGCCAGAGCGATAGGCGATAGCGTTTTGATGTGAATCGTGATTTTACCACAATTATAACAAGAATATAATACCATCTGTCGTGCTATCGATCATGAATTACATGTTACTCTCAATATTTTTATTTACATACACCATATTATTCATGTTAGTATTAATCTTATTGATCAAATTTAAATTCACACTAATTGTTTTCTTGGTTTGACCTAGATATATTCTAAATTAAAATGAGGCAACTACTTGTGACCATACCGAGCTTGCGCTGTTCGTATATATTGGCTCTAAGCCAAAAAATAAACAAATGTACTTGTTTGTAAATTATTGGTTCTTGTGTAATATATAAAAAGGATTGTGTGCTTTTATGAAACCACGGTAAAAGTGAAACTTGTTTTCACATTATAGATAATTAATTCTGACAAACAACATTTACATTAAATACTGACAAAAACAAAAAAAATACCGTGGAGTACTGGCACAAATGTCTAATAGTCTATACACTACACGGTCAGCTGCTGCGAACTATAGGCGCCGCCATATTGGCCTTGGCTGCTCTGACGAGCGCCTTTCGCTTTATCCCTACTCCGCGGCCGACCGTCACGCGACATGCAACACACAGACGAAAAAGTTTGAGACGATGTAATAAAAGTTTCACTTTAAAGTGTAGATTGCCGCATTTATTGAGATTAAAGCCCCCTAGATTCTATTGCAGTATCTTTGCGAGCGCTCATAATCCAGCTTAATCCACCATAGCCTCACCGTAAACTCTGCTAAGTACAACATCGAAACTCTCATAAAACCCGAACGTAAAACCAACGCGATGAATAATTCGTTACATATTTGATGTTTACACAAAAACGGCCCGAAATATCTGTCAGTTTGACAAACACCGGCGCAGGTGTCGCTTCAGCGTTCCAATCACAAAATGGAAATTATGCCATGTCGGTCTGACACCAATAGTTCCGTGCAAACGAGATACATTATATCCATTGATGAGCAACCTTTTAATCGCTTGCGGGATATACCACAGTGTTATTGTCCACTTAACAGCTTCATATAAAGCGTGCATTTACGGAAAGGGCGCCCCTGTGAACCATCAAGGTCCAAGAGAGAAGACCGACGAAGAAATCGATACATAAGCGAGGAACTCTACAACTAATCCTTTTCGTTTCTTTAAATATTAACTTTTTTAACTTTGGGTTATAATTTTCATCACTTAAACCATTTAATGCCAACTACACAACGCTGTGGAGATGGCTTATGGTTATGTTTTTCCTATGTTCGGCCTCCGCTCCTCCAAAAAAGGACGAAGGAACAATTGAATATTACATAGAATATACATTATTAAGTAAGATAGCATCTAGATAGTGCAATAGTTACAATAGTCCTTTGAGTTTGCATCGTGTGTCAAAAACTGATGTTAAAAAGTTTACAATAAAAATAGCGTAGCAATTCAGTATCTCGTTTGCGACAAACATTTTATTGCTACACAAATCCGAACGAACTCATTACGGCCACAGAGTACAAAAGTTGCGAACAGTTTTTGCGAGAACGATTACGTTTTAGCTGTTTCCTATCGTGTATATTTTCATCTGTTACGGTCTATTTGTTTACGTATCAACGGAAACAAAAAAATAATCTGATAAGTGCTGCGCTTGTGTTACTGGTTTGGATTCTAAAGTTTCAGTATTAAAGGCGTAATATACATGTCACAGTACTGTTAATGAGTAAGCTCTATCTGTCTAAGACATTCATGCTGTCTAATTCTAGTGTGAAGCAGTCCTGCGTTCTGGCTTCAAGGCTAGGACTACCAATACTCCGTTGCAGTTGAGAATAAAATTAATATCTTATGAAAAACAGCGGTGTTCAAAGTGTATCTAATGGCTTCAGTGGTCGCTTCGTTTGTTTTGCCGTTCTTACAAAAAAGTATGTGTGATGGCGTGGGACACCGGATAGGAACGAAGTTCCTTATTAAAAAAATATTATTAATTTTAAGTTCTATTCGAGGTATAAAGAAAATAAAACTGGAGGTTTCGCCACAACCCACGATCATTCGGTAACGTGCGAACTATTGTGGTACACTTCATTCACGGTTGTTTGCATAAGAGTTAGTGTATTGCGCAAACGAACGCTCTGAGATCGTGGTCAACGAATGATAAAAAAATATGTTATTTTTTGTACGTTAGTACAATGTTAAATCGTACATTATGTGCATTACTAATTTGTACATTATTACAAAGTTAAGTCGTACACTGTGTGCATTACTAATAAAAATCTTACGTTACGGGCGTTTTTTCCCGATTAGGGTACCCCTCCGCATCGTCCCTTAAGGAACTTCGTTCCAATAATGGCACTGGAAATGCATTAAAACATATATCGAATAAAATGAAAGAAAAAAAATATTTAATGTCGCGTTTAATAGTATTTTATCATGTAGATGACAAGTGCGCGTGCTTAAGGAATGACTATTGTGTGGATACGCTCCCGCCGATCGGGTGCAGTGCTGGTGCCAGCGACAAGACCTCCTGTGAACAAAGTCTGTGTTGGAGATTTTAGACAATTGTATTGTTGTGAATTTTTATTTTTTATTGCTTAGATCGGTGAACGAGCTCACAGCCCACCTGTGTTAAGTGGTTACTGGAGCCCATAGACATATACAACGTAAATGCGCCACCCACCTTGAAATATAGGTTCTAAGATCTTAGTATGGTTACAACGGCTGCTCTACCCTTCAAACCGAAACGCATTACTGCTTCACAGCTAAAATAGGCGGGGTGGTGGTGCCTACCCGTGCGGATTCACAAGAAGTCCTACCACTAGTAATTACGCAAATTATAATTTTGCGGGTTTGATTTTTATTACACGATGTTATTCCTTCACCGTGGGAGTCAATCGTGAACATTTGTTAAGTACGTATTTAATTAGAAAAATTGGTATCCGCCTGCGGGATTCGAATACCGTTGCACCGGACGTCTTATCCTTCAGGACTTTAGGCCACGACGACTTCTTAAAATACATTTCTGTAAATGTATCTTTTTAATACATTTCTAGGAACGATGTCATTATTTTGGACTTGTTATCTTAACTGGGATTGCTTACTTGCTTGCTTGTTTGATTCTACGTGGAGACGTCAAACGTTGATTCATTTGAACGGAGACCAAATTCATACGAATGAGGCCGAAGGTGTAGTTTATTATCAACAGCTGGAATGAGGTAGAATCTGCTAGAGTTCACCGAAGGAGGCGAAGTTAAA